CAGAATCAAACCAAACTTTAGAACAAATGGACATAGTGGATGTCTATAGAGTTTTCTACCCTTCAGCTTCAGAATACACGTTCTTCTCAGCTGCCTGTGTGATGTTCTCCAAAACAGACCACATACTAACTCACAGAATATGCTTAGGTAAATGTAAAGGAATTAAAATTATCCCATGCATAATAATATCAGAGTATAGTGTAATTAAATTGGAAATCAATGACAAAAGATAGCACAAAAACTTCACAAGCACATAGAAATTAAATCACATCCTCCCAAACAACCAAAGAGGCACATATGAAATTAAAGAAGAAATTTAAAATTTTCTACAATTAAATGCTGATGCAGAACAACATACCAGAACTTATGGTGTGCAATGAAAGCAGTTGTACGGAGGAAATTTATAGTGGTGATTTCCCATATCAGAAAAACAAGAGCAAGCTCAAGCAAACAACCTAATGTTGAACCTCAGGCTTCTAGAAAAAGAAGATCAAGCTAAGCCTAAAGCTCATACCAGGGAGGAAATTATAAAGATCACAGCAGAAATTAGTTCAACAGAGACCAAGAAAAGCATGCAAATAAACAATGAATTGAAGAGATGGTTTTTGAAAGATTAAATAAAACTGACAAACCTTAAGCCAACCTTATCAGAAAAGGAAAGACTCAAATCTGTGGAATTAGGAATGAAAAGGGTCAAATCATAACACCTCATGCAGAATGTAGAAGTCGCCATTTACTTTGAGAACCTGTATTCTAGTAAGATGGAAAACACAGAAGAAATGGACAGATTCCTAGATATATAAGAATTACCAAAGCTGAATCAAGAAGACATAAAAATTCTAAATAAATTAATATCAGTCAATGAAACTGAAGATGTAATTTAAAACCTGCCAGCAATAAAAGCACAGGTCCTGATAGGGTCACTACTGAGTTCTACAAGAAATCTAGAGAAGACCTAATGCCACTACTTCTCAAACTCTTAATGAAATTGAAAGGGAAACAATACTCCCAAATTCACATCCTGATACCAAAACTAGAGAATGATTCAACCAAAACTGAAAACTACAGGTCAATCTCTCTATTGAACATAGATACAAAAATGCTCAATAAGATGCTGCCAAACAGAATGCAGCAGATCATCAAGAAGATCATACACTATGACCAAGTAGGACTCATCCCAGGGATGCAGGGATGCTTTAACATATGCAAATCAATAAATGTAATATATCCTATTAAGAGAGCCAAGGACAAAAACCATATGATTATCTCAATAGATGCAGAAGAAAGCATTTGACAAAGTCCAACACTCTTTCATGATAAAAACCCGACAGAAAATTGATATAAAGGGTCTTTATCCCAATCTGATAAAAGCCATCTATGACAAACCAGCAGCCAGCATCATACTAACTGGACAAAAACTGAAAGCTTTCACTCTAAAATCAGGAACAAGACAAGGATGTCCACTGTCACCACTCTTATTCAATATAGTTCTGGAAACATTAGCCAGAGCAATTAGACAAGAAAAATCTAAAATCAAACAAGACAAGGATGTCCACTGTCACCACTCTTATTCAATATAGTTCTGGAAACATTAGCCAGAGCAATTAGACAAGAAAAAGAAACAAATAGAATAAGGATAGGAAAGGAAGAAGTTAAATTATCATTGTTTTCGGATGACATGATATTCTACATAGAAGACCCCAAAAACTCCACCAAAAGACTTCTACATTTAGTAACAAATTCAGTAGTATAGTTGGAAACAAAGTCAGCACTCAAAAATCAATAACATTCCTGTACACAAATAAACTCACTGAGAGAGAAGTTAAAGAAACACCTTTCATCATAATATTGAAAAAATTGAAATACCTGGGAATCAATCTGATAAAGGAAGTAAAAGACCTTTACATTGAAAATTACAGAACTCTGAAAAAGGAGATTGAAGCAGCTATCAGAAAATTGGAAGATATCCCTTGTTCTTGGATAGGAAGAACCAATACACTAAAAATGGCTGTCTTGGCTACTTTTCTCTCATTGCTGAGACAAAGTACCCAACACCCAAAGTTAAATGGGGAAAGGTTATTTAGCTCGTAGTTTTGTAGAGGTTTCAGTCCATGATTGGCTGGCTCCAAGGCAGAGTGGCACAGCAGAGGGGCAACAGTTCATGGCAGTGGAAGACAGCAAAAATAACAAGGAACCTTAACAGCATCTTTCTGCCCTTTGTATCTTATTCAGAAAGCTTAAGGAAGGTAGTATTCACACCCTAATCCTAGTGCCCTTGAGCCTAGCATTGCACCATGAATCAGTTCCAGCCTCACCTGCTATAGATCCAGCCACTTCTGAAAAAGCTCCACCCAAGACTTGATGAGGCTTGGGGGGCGGCATGTAGACCCAAACAATAACAATGGCCATATTTCCAAAATTCTTATATAGATTTAATGCAATCCCAAGCAAAATACCAATAGCATACCTCATAGACTTAGAGAAAAACAATCCTAAAATTCATTTGGAACCAGAAGAGACCTCGAATAGTAAAAGCAATTATGGGCAACAAAGTCAAGATGATGGTGATCACAATCCTCATTATACTACAAGTTGCTGTGATTAAAAACAACATGGTACTGGCAAAACAAACAAACAAACACAAACAAATAAACAAAAAACCAGACCTGAGGATCAGTGAACAGATTAGAAGATGCAGAAACAACTTGAACACACTCAACCACCTTATCTTTGACAAAGCCAAATATCTTCACTGAAAGAAAGATAACCTCTTTAATAAATGGTGCTGGAAAAACTGGCTTTCCATATGCTGAAGTTTAAAACTAGACCTGTATCTTTCACCATGCACTAAACTAAAATAAAAATGGATCAAAGATTTAAAATTAAAACGGAAACACTAAATCCACCAGATAATAGAATAGACAGAACTCTTGAAGACATTGGTGTAGGCAAAGACTTTATGAACAAAATGCCAATTGCACAGAAAATATCACAAAGAATCAATATTCTGGGGTCTTATTAAAGACTTTTGCATGGAAAAAAAACTACCAACAAAGTGAAGAGACAACCTACAGCACGGGAAAAAATTTTGACAGCTGCTCCTCAGACAAAGGATTAATATCTAGAACATATAAAGAATTTTTAAAAAATCAGAACTCCCAAATTTAAAGACCCAATCCAAGAATGGGCATCTAAAATGAATAGACACTTCTCAGATGAAGCAGTTGAAATTGCAAATAAATATATAAAAAAATGTTCAACATCACTGGTCATTTGAGAGATGCAAATTAACATGATGCTGAGATTCTACTGTACTCCAGAAAGAATGGTTATTTTCAAGAAATCACCCAATAACCAAAGCTGGCAGAGCTGTGGGAAAAGAATAAACCTTTCTCTTGGGGCCGGGGATTTAGCTCAGTGGTTTGGGTGCCTATCTCGCAAGTACAAGGTCCTGAGTTTGATCACCGGTACCAAAAAAAAACAGAAACCTTTCTCCACTGTTGGTGGGAGTGTAGACTGGTACAACCACTGTGGAAATCAGTGTGGAGATTCCTCAAAAAACTACAACTATAGGCTCCATTAGTCCCAGCTACCCGCTTCTCAGTAACTTCCCAAAACAATTAAAAGCACCATACCACAGCAATATATGCACACACATGTTTATAGCAGCACAGTTTGTAATAGCTAAATCTTGGAAACAACCCAAATGCCCATTAATTGATAAGCAGATAAAGATGACGTGGGTTATATACATACATATATATATATATATGTATATTTATATGTGTGTGTCTCTCTCTCTCTATATATATATATAGAGAGAGACACACACATATATACACACAATGAAGTACTACTCTGCCATAAAGAAGATAAGCTTGAGACATTGCTAGCACAATGGATGCATCTTGAAACCATACTCTTCAGTGAAATAAATTGGATACGTGCTTAAATACTGAATTGTTTCTCTGGCATGAGACACTGAAAGTATAAATAAGGATCCAAATGTATACTAGATATTGGGAAATGGGAATAACATGTTCAGATGTGAAGAGGGGCAAGGCAGGGAGAAAGGAAGGAAGGGACAAGCAAAAAAGAAAACAGAAGGAAAAAATGAAAACAAAACTTCTGTAAATGAGGAGGGGAAGAGGGGTTGAAGGAAGTGGAGAGGAATGGCAAAAAAAGAAGCAGCGAGATATATCACGTACAGGTACAAATTCCCTATGATAAATGTTATCGTTATGTATATCTACATTATACCCATGAAATCGCAAGAAAAAAAGAAATCAAACAAAGAACAAAAATCATATAACTGTTTAGTTAAACTGTCTCTAAGGGACCGTATCGCATCTTTGGGAAGGGAGAGAAGCAGTGATATAATACATTTGGCTTTCCATTAGATATTTCCATGTTATTTTAAATCTGGTATATTAATTTTAAATTTAAGAAAATTAATCAGATTTAAATGTAAAAACCCTACATTTCCATAGATAACCAAATGTACAGAAAAATGGTTAGGCTAGTAATTCAAAGGAAAGAAAAAGCTGTATGCACAAAAATATTAATTCAACACCAAACTTAAATATGCTCATTTATAATTCATGTATAAAAATTAAATAAGTAACTCATTAAACAAGATATCTACAAAATAGGATATTCTATTAAATAACATGTATGCACACTATATGATAATTACCATAACACAACTGGTATAATATTCATTTTTTAAAGGTGCAGAATTTTATGTATAACTAACTGTATTCATGTAGTTATGAGTGGGGAACATGGTGTAATTTTAGTCGATTCACCATTTTCTATAACAATTTCAAAATTTGCATTGTTTTGTATTATTTGAAAATTTTCATTTGGAGATTTCCTCCTTGTATGAGAATTTAATTTGAGAAGCAAACCAACGTGCAAGATGCCTGCTTGCTAGTCCAGCGCGGGTCACTAACTGGCCAGCAGGTAGTGTAGACGTTTGTGAGCGAAGAGCCGCTTACCCGCATGTCCCGCTGGAGGAGGATGACGGGAAGCCAACATCAGGGAGGCGCTTCTGAAAGGCAGCGTGGGCTTCTCCAGGGACGGGCCGCTGTTCCCAGACAGCATCCTTCCCTTGCAGCTGCTAAAGAGATCCCTGATGTCCTTGCTTTCTTTGGATTCTTGGAGGAAACTCTCGAAAGACTTGTCTTTGGTTCTGAAGGAGGAAAATAAAGAGGGTCTTCTCCTGGGACCCCTGGCAGCTTTTGCCACGGCCTCTTGCAAACTCACTTTTTCCAGGAGTGTGGGGACATCGTCAGCGTTGCAGCAGGGCGGGGGTGAGAAGAACGCAGGGAACACCGTAGGTGGGCAAAGGTCCGAGGACTGGGTGGCCCTGGGAGCTGGGGAGCCCAGGGAGAAGGTGGAGGACCTGCGGGCCGTGGGTCTCCTGGGGGACTGCTGGCTCCCGTCTTTATTAGAACCGCTTTTCCAGAGGCTGAAGGTGCTGGCAGAGGGGTGCGGCTGCTGGCTTGTGGGCAAAGTTTCTGGTTCTGGTTTGGCCGAGACCTTCTTCGTGCTGTCAGAGGCGTGGAAGAACTGCCCCACGGACTTTCGGATGGCATTTGTAATGAGCCTCAGAGGTGACTTGGGCGGGGGCACACTCCGCCCCTCCAGAGCCTGCACAGCTGGGGTCCGTGTCCCCTCGGGGGCCTCCGTCTGAGCTGCCAGTGTCTCTTTCCCTCCCCGAGGGAGGCACAAAGGGTGGACCCGTCTCAGCACAGGGTCTCTTCTGCCGTTTCTAGCACCCTCCTGGGAAAGTCGCTCCCTGGGCTGGAGGGGCACACTCTCAAGGCGGGAGGCACCCCAGTCCAGCAACATGGTCTTCTGTTCCTGGCTGAGAACCAACTTCTTCAGGCCTGACGTCCTCTTGGCCAGCTCTGACCCACCTTCCTGTTCCCTCTTGGCTCCAGTACTGCCCTCTTCTGCTGGCAGAGATTGCTGGTGGTCTGGCAAGGATCTATCCTTCCCCCCAGTGAGGAGAGGGTCTCTGTGGGGGCTTCCGGCACCCCCAGGAGCCCCTGTTTCCCGGCAAACCCCAGAAGCCATCTCCACAGGGCTTTGGAGGCTGTCTCCACCTGGGCTCACCAGGCAGTACTCTGCCCGCTCTAGCACCTCGCTGTGAGGTAGGTACAGGGCCATTTCCTTGGGTGCCTCTTGGGTTCTAGCTCTCCTGAGGAAGATCGGGGTCGAAGGACTGCAGGGATCTCCAGAGGCCTGAGGGTGGGGGGTGTAAGCTGTGACCTAGAAGGGATGGGCAGAAAGAGCAGTTATTTCACAATTTACAGCATTTATCTATACCGATTAGGCAAATCTCAATCCACACCCTGCTTCTTTTCTCCAGATATCAGATATTCACTGTCAAAAAGGAATGTTGCCTGGGAGAATCAGAGGGCTGCTCTTTGCTTGAAGTATCTCCTTAGAAACTACTGGGACCTACTTGGAGCCTCCAGATCCACTCTGCTCAAAGGCCATTCTGGATCCTGGGTTAGGTGGGTAAGGGAGTCAAAGGGAGGAAAAGGCCCAGACGCTGCTCTCCACAGCCCCTGGCCAGGGTGAGTAGGGCTGGCCTGCGAGGAAGCTCTCCCATGTCTTGCTCAAGCACGGTCCTACTCAAGGGCACCCTCCTCTCATAGCTGCACTCCACTCATGACTAAGAAACCAAGGCAGAGCCCCTGGAGGCCATCAGGTTAAGGGTGGCAGTCACCCTTCTGGGTTGGAACTGCAGTGACTGAGGATGGCCATAAGGACCTTCCAAGGACCTTCCTAAAGGTCACACCTTGCACAGAGAAAGCCATTTCTACTGAGCAGGAACTTGGCTCTTGGCAAAACAAGAATGTAAGTGAACTCTAGTGGGAGCAGCTAGCTGTGCTCTGCCAAGCACTCTGGGGCCCAAGGGACACTTGTAGGATGGGGACTTCACAAGAACTCAAATTTCTTCTGCCTTGCAGACTATTTTGCAGGTCCTGAGAATGGCTTGGCAGGTAATAGACACTGGATAAATCCATATGAAAAGAGAGTCCAGCCATACATATCAGTGATGACATGTTCTTTTCCAAAGGCACCTGCACTCAGTGCCTGGCATCCTTCAACTGGAGGCTCTTTAACATGCTCGGTGTTTTTCAAGAGCGGAACACATATTCTAGGGCCAGCATCCCACGGTCAGGCAAAGAATCTCCCTCCAGAAGGACTGTTGGGGTGGGGCTATGTCCTTGGGTAGTTGAGAAGAAGCAGGCTAAACTTTTATGAAAGGCACGAGTGCAGAAGGCCTGGAGTGGAACTTTGACAGAGTCTCTTTCTGGCCCTGGCCTTGCACTTGGGGGGCATAAGAACGCTTAGAATCCAGAGTTTAGCATGGAAGGAGGGAGGGCGCAGGCAGCTCATCTTCCTAACATCTGTGCATCGCCTGCAGGGGAACTCACCTGAGGTGGAGAAAAATGGTCCGGAGGATGTCCAGGGACACTGGCTGGAGACGAAGAAGATGGAGAAGACCATGAAGACAGAGGAAGAGGAGGAAGTTCCTTTGAAGGTGACAGAGTTCTTTTGTTTGCTGCTATTAGATCTACCAAGGAAGGGACACACACGCCATTACAGAGCTGCTGTTGGGTTATCATGGAAAGGGGAGGTTGTAAGGGAAGCTCTAGTTCTAATAAGCAGTGTCTGGAAGGAGAAGATGTCAAAGACTAATTCTGAGGTTCCAGTGACCATGGCTTGGGACAAAGCCAGAAGCAGGGTCCCATGGGGGAAAGGAGGCTCCAGGATGAGAAATCAAAGGACATAGTGTTTCATTTTCTTGTGGGAATGTTCCTGAGAGAGACATGAGCCGTGTTTCCAGAGTGCTTCCCAGAAATGGACATCTACCCCTAGTTTCCCTAAAGCCATGGTGGTTGGGAGCTGGGGCTGTATTAAATCATCCCGTCAATAAACTATCTGAGGTTTCTTCTCACAAATGCCAGACCATCAGCTGTGGGCATGGCCAGGAGAGACACTCATTACTAATGAAAGGCAGTCTTCCTGTCACATGTGCCCAAGGGGCTCTCAGACAAGTGGGGCGGTAGCTGACACTCCAAGGGAACAGAGGGAGGGAGGTCACAGCAATATCAAACCTTTTGATGCATATGGAGTGAGGCTCATGCCCAGTTCCTGTTGCTCAAGAGACAACAGGAGCTCAGAAGTATATAAGAAACGAACATGGCTGGGCCCTGGGAACCCCTCTGGTCATCTGGTCCCCTCCCTCCCTCTTCTTTTCTTCTTCCCCCGCCCCTCTCCCCCTTCCTCCTCCTTCCTTTCCATCCCCTTATGTATACAGTCATCGTAAGACCCAAATCTCAAGTATTCTATCTCCATGTTGGAACATTTCAGATAATAATCTGTGCTCAAATAGAGTCAGAAACAAGTCAGTGTTTCCCATGTGCCTACTCAGTGTCTGACCCTCAGCCTGCCAAGCTCTTCCATGAAACATGGTGGCACATACTGGCATTCCCAGATACTCCCCAGGGCCACTGCGCCTACCTAGGCTCTCTTGTCTGAAACTCCAACTTCTGCCTTCTGGAACCCATTCAGATTCTCCTCCAAGATGCCCAACCTTTGGATTTTGGCTTACTTCTTAATTCAACACAGTGTCCAAGGCACAGTTTCCTCAGCACTTTGGGTGAGAGGCTCAGGGACCCACATAGGCCAGGTCAAACTGAAATCCATCCCCAATAAGAATTCTATTGAGTCCTGGTCCTATGGGAGGAACAACCATATGGGTGGATTTTCGATATTCTGCCCTGCTTCCCCACACAAACACAAGCATGTCAGATGATGTGTCCTAGACCTGGGTTCTGACAAAATGGCTGCCATACACATATGATCAACAAGCTCCCAGCGGGAAACTCCCTGGATGCCTCTGAGGGCAAAGGTAACTCCAGGTGACAGATCTGATATACGGGTGGGCAAAAGGAGCTCCTGAGAGAGGCCACTGGCTGCCAGAAGCTAATGTGGGGGAGGTGACTGGCCTGCCTTCCATCAACCGCACCCCCATCTCAGCCCACAATGAGATGGTTGGAGCCTAAAAAGGCAAAAGTCGTGAGTCAGTTGTTGCCTTGCTTCCTGTCCTCAGCTCGCCAAATTCCTGCAAAATTCCTTCTCCCCCTGTTCTTCGCCCCCTCTCTCTCCTCTCACTGCCATCTTCTGAATCAAGCTGCTTAACTTCTCTCAAAAGTCGTCTGGGCTTCACAGATTGCCTTTTGTTCCTCTGAGGAGTCTCGGAATCTTATGACACATAGCTAGGGACACCTTGGGATGTAAGCCTGACAGAAAAGCCATGGAATTTCCAAGTTCATGACCTGGCAGCTGCCCCCTTTTTCTCCTTTCTTGAATCCTCCGTAGCCAGCGGGGTCTTTTTCTGTGAGTATCTCCAAGTCGGGTGTTACAGGTGGAGCCTGCAGAGGGCTGGAGGAGGTGGGGAGGCAGAGGCCCTGGTTAGGCCAAGCCCTGTCCCTGGGCTGCCATTCCATCCCCTGCTGGGGAAGGGGCCCAGCTGGGGAGGGACAGGTGAACCAGAGCCCAGATGAGAGGTGATGGGGAGCCCCAGCTATTCCACAGGTAGCTTCCTGAGTGGCCTCCAGCCTCTTGGGTCAAGTGCTGGTGCTGCCTCCTCTTGGGCTCTCTGGCAATAGCGATCTTTTCTCTCTGAAGGTTCTTCTGGCCAGCATGGTCAGCCAGGGGAGGTGGCCATGTTCTGCTTTTTACTACAGAACCAATCTGGTCTGCTGGGGTTTCCTCTAGTGAAATGAAAATAGCAAAAAGGTGTTTCTGGCGGCTTTCAGCACTAGGGATTTTTGCCAGAACTCGGTTCCCAGGATGCAACCTTCCCTAACGTTCGAGGCTCTCAAGGTTTAAATCCTTTGCGAGGTCTTGGAGCGCCCTCTAGGGACAGCAGCATGCAAGGCATGTGCTTTATTTACCCTCAGTCCTACTAACCTTGTTTCTGGTTCATTTGTTCCTTCATTTATTCTCTGAGCAAACAAGCACTTGGCGCCTCCTCTAGGCAAGATCATGCTAAGGACTCTGCCCCCCCCCCGAGGACCTGCCCAGAGCTTAGGATTTCAGTGCCTCAGGATGGGCTGGAGTAGGCAGTAAGACACCATCCCCTCATTCATTGCCTTGGGCTGTCAGATCTTCCAGGGCAGCGACCCAACCATGTGCGCAGCTCTAGTCCAGCGGCAGAGGTGACCCCTGGCCCCGCCTGACCCAGCGAGGGCGGGCAGGTCTGGGATGGTGGGAGAATGACTCACGGGCCAGGACTCAGCAGTGACTCAAGTAAGAAAACCAGGGCTCCCCACCAGCTGCAGCAGCAGCGCCCCGAGGTAAAGACCCTGTTGAGACACAGGGTCCGTCTCCCTCTCTGCAGACTGTGGAGAAAGTGTAGGGATCGGGACTTGGAATGAGATAGTGTCCTCGCCCCTAGCTCAGGGCCTCCAGGTAATTTCCACTCAGTCCCTGCTGCCCGCCACCCGAATGTGGGCCAGCCTGGGATTCCCCGCGTCTGTGTTTGCACGCGCGGCACTGCGCCACCTTGTGGGTGCCCTGGTCCTTGCCCTGTCCCGCTCTTCCTGGAACCAAGTCCTGCTCAGAAAACTGAGATGTATGTGTGTGGATAAATCAGTGAATATGTGTGAGTCAGTCAGTCTGTCTGTCTCTTCCTTCACTGTATTGCCTCCAACTTCAGGATCCAAAGAGCTCATATTCCAGCCACCCCAGAATCCAATCATACACCGTGCCCGTCCTCAGTGTCCTCGTTCAAGTTTCAAAGAGCTCAGAGCCCATGTGTGCTAAGCCCCTTCCACCAGTGATCGTGTAGAATCTTAGGGCTCTACGACCCCAGAATAGGAGGCAGAGGGCAATGGAAGTTCCCACGCCCGTCAGTGAATACTTCCTGAGTCAGCAGCAGAAATCAAGCCAACCTCCTTTTCCCCCCTTGTCCCTCACATCCTGGAGGCGATCAGAGAAGACACCATGTAAGGAATGAGAAGCACAGAATGGACCAGAGAACTCCCCACCCCTACCCCCGCCCCAGCTCGTGACTCACTTGATGGGAATTTTCTCCAGTTCTGGTGTTTGCTTGGAGCTGGAGCCTGGAAGCTGTTGGCCCGTTGCAGAGCTGTGGTGGAAAAAAAGAGAGGGGCAGGGAAGATGGGGGAGGGGAGGACAGGAGTCCATTAAACTGTAGGAATGAAGAGAGATTTCCCCGCTACAGCCTATTTACAAAAGTTAGCAGTTCAATGACTACAACTGGCTGAACCTTTTCCTTCTCTTACACCACGCTGCCTGACCCCCCTGCCAATTTTCATTTATTATCCATCAAATGTTTATTGAGGACATGCTTTGGGACAGGCACAGCCCTGTGTTAGGAAATGCCTCCAATAACTTAGCTGTCATTCTAAATCACCGATCATAAATGAGCCCCTCACATGCCGGTGTATATACAAAGAGGTACACACAAACATACGTGCACACGGTAGGGTCTAGCTCTAGCATGTGCCTCCAAAGCCTCATGTGTTCAGAGGTGGGGCTTTTGGAAGGCGATTGGAGCATGGGGTGCTGTACCCCGTGAATTAATCCACTGATTCATTCACAGCTCAATGTGTTGTTAGGAGGTGGGGCCTGGTTGGAAGAGGTGGGTCACAGTGAAGGTGTGACCTGGAAGGTGTATCTCCTCCCCCTGTCCCTCCCTTCTCTCTCTGTTTCCTGCTCACCATGACATGAATAGCTTTCTCCCGGACCCTACTACCACGTTGTGTCTGCATTTAGACCTATCAACCATGGACTGCAACTTCCGAATCTGTAAGCCAAAAAAAAACCTCTCTTCTTTGTAAGTTATAGGTGTCAGGTATTTTGTCCCATGGATGAGAAAGTGACTAAGGCAACATCCATGTATATATTTATGCATTCATTTGTATCACAACTGTTCTTTAAAGCTGAGGCCTCACAGCAATGTTCCATACAGGTAATAGATAAAAACTGGAGCTGCCCTAATTAAAGCCATGAAGCTGCAGAAAGTTCTCTTCTGCCTTCCCTTCCCTCGCCCAGAGTCCCCCAAACCCTGCACACTGGTTTTAACTGAGATGCTGGACAATCCATTGCCAGTCCCTTTCCTTATGGCCTGGTCCATTAGAAATGCATTTGTGGGACATTGTAATTCCCACTGACAGCCCTCTGCCCAGCTGTGCCTTGAGAATTAGCTTAGCAAAATGAATACTGCTTGTGGGGAGAAAATGAGTTTTAGCCCTTGGGGCATGAGAGTGGGCAGCGGGACTCAAATGTACCCTGTTGCCAGGCAGCACCTTCAGATTCCATCTCAGGCCTGGTGCTTCCATCACAGCCCGAAAGAAGGAATGGGCACCACACTGCACATCCGGGTGCTCATAAAGTGTATGGGAGATCTGGCAGACGGAGAAGGTGATACAGAGGATTTGACCCAGAGCTTCCTGAATTCGGGTGGGGCCAGTGTGGACCCCACGCCTCCAGTCCTCGATGCTCCACTCTGTGCCCTGGAGTGTTCTCTCCTTAGAACAAGATTTTGGCTCCTTAGCTCCTTGGCTCCCCTCCTCCCTTTGCCCACTGGGGATGCTTTGTGCCAGACTGGTAGGTTTCCAGTCCTACAGATCACTCTCAAGATCAGGCCTAAGGGTCTAGGAGGAGCCAGTGTGGATGGGTGCAGAGCAGTCCCCCACCTTCCCGCTGCCAGATGGATAGTCCGCCAAGGTCTCCAGGCTGGGAGCTTTTCATGAGGAACAGGCAGACCTTAAGTACAGCGACTTCCTCCTGACACCAGTGAAGGAACCACTCACACAAATGTAAGAGCTCTTAAAGCTCTGACTGCTCCTCCTCCACTTTTAACTTTGTGGAATGGAACCTATTAAAAGTGGCTACAGTTCATGGGAGATTTTCCATTACTGCTGTTTATGGGGTACCCATGTACACGTTCCTCCCACAACAGGAACAACAGGGTGAGTAGTAGAGATTTGACCTAGTACTTCTGAGCAGCATACAGCTAGGCTGGTTCCAGTCTTTCAGCTTATACTTTAGGTGTGTTTATTTGTTTGGTATTTACTTTATAGAAGCAAAGTGCATGACCTGCTGCAAAGGAGAAAGAGGGTAAGAATTTTGCCATACGGTACTGATGATCTCATTTTATTGTTACAAACTGTTGGTGTTCTCCATATGCCATGGGGCCATCCTGTTATCAAATTACTGCCAGGAAAAAAATGGATAAGTACCAATTCTTCCTTGTCAGAATAATTTAGGGGCAGATTGCCCTCCAAAATCTAATTGGTTTTGGTTCAAGAATCCAATGCACTAGATGCATCCATTTAGTTGCCTGGGCACGCACATCACAGTTAATTCGCCCAGGGGGACCCTCCCAGAAGCTGCCCTTCTGTGATTCCCGAAATGTGGGACATGCCCACCTGCACTGGGGAATCTGGCCTGCTCACGCCCAATGCAAACACTCAAGGACTCGGAGTCTCTGTGGGGACCCTGGAATACGTCTTTTAGGTAAGATTTAAAAGGACCTCTGAACTGGATTGGTATGGTTTGGATTTTAAATGGCCCCCAGTGGCCCACATCTTAAAGATTTGGTGGCCAGCCAGTGGCACTACTGGGAGGTGGCGGAAGAACACTGAGGAGGGGGAATGGAAAGGAAGAAAGTGAGGCATTGCCTGCAATGGGATATGAGACCCTGGTCCCTCCCTCTTTTTGCTTCCTGGATGCCAAGAGGTGACCCCTTTCCTTCACCTGTACTTGTATCATGATAGCAATAGGGCCAAGGGACCATGGGCTGAAATCTCTAAAACTGAGAGCCAAAATAAACCTTTTTTCTGTATGAGTTGTTTATCTCAGGCGTTTTGGCAAAGCAAGGGAAAGCTGACTATCACAGAGACGTTTTAGGGGAGCGTGTCCCATGGCTTACATGACTCGGGTGTAAATTACGTGTCACACCCGTGTCTTGGGCATGCTCCGTGTCACAGAACTTTGAGGATGTGAGAGGTCCCCTGAGGTGCTGAGGCCATCTGGGAAACCTCTTGTTCAATGGTGGCAAAATGCACATAACATAAAAAGCACCATTAAGCCACTTCTTAAATCATCTGTCAGTGTTTTTTAGGACAGCCAAAAAGAAGTACTGAGAGCAAGGGAGGGAGAGAGACGTGGAGCTGGCATGCACGGCACCCTTCCCCTGTGTTCATATGTTCAAACCCTGCAGCTCTGCAAACCTCGAAAGCTTGGAATTCAGTGGTGCTAAGTACCTTACACTGTTGTTTAGCTATCACTACTTCCCATCATCTCCAGAGCTTCTCCACGTTTCAGACTGAAACTCTCTGCTCATTAAACAGCAATCCCATCCTCTTCTCCCTCCATCCCTGGGGACCACCATTTATTTCTACTGTCTATGAATCTGACTGCTCTAGGCACGTGCTACAAGCCTCTCTCTGACTGGCTTCACACCTCATCACTTTACACATGTCCTCAGAGTTCATCTGTGTTGTATCGTGTATCAAAATCTCATTCCTTTTGAGGGTTGAATAACATTCTCTCTCTCTCTCTCTCTCTCTCTCTCTCTCTCTCTCTCTCTCTCTTTTGGTACCAGGGATCAAACTTGGGCCCTTGCACTTGCAAGGCAGTTGGCAGAACCACTGAGCCAAATTCCCAGCTGAATAACATTCTCTTGAATGGATAAGCCACTTTCGGTTTATCCCTTCATCTCTTGACTGCATGTGCTTTGTTTCCTCCATTGGGCCATCATGGACATGCTGTAAGAGCACAGATGCACAAACCAGGTCTGGCCATGCCCTGGTCTGGCCTTCTCTAAACCCACCTTGGAGACATTACTCCAGGTGACAACCGTGGCTGAGGGTGCTCAATAATTTCCATTCATGATGTCAACCCCGCACTACTTGGGAGAGCCACTGGCTCACCATCACCGGAGACTTTAACCTTAATACCGTGGCCGATCAATGATCAAAACCCCGGTTGACAACGATGAAATCAACAAAGGATTATTTGGAAGTCACACAGTGTATCCACTTCTTTATCTGCTCTATATTTTCCTTTAGAGTTGAACAGACTGTCAGAAACTAAATGCTTCGGCCATGTGCCTTAGTCTGTGCAGCCGAGCCCATGACTCACAGGATCCTGACTTGCTGTCAAGCCCACGCCTGCCGCCAAGGGGCGCTGCATGAAACGGCCTCCAGGGAAGGACAGCTGGATTCTCCGTGGAGCCATTGCTTAAGCCACGATCTAACGTATCACTCAGCATTGCCTACTCGACACACAAGCTGTGAACTCTGTCTAGACCTAAGCTCTAAGCAAAACTGTGTGCCCTCAGAGACCTACTGAATACATACTTTTTTTCCTCTTGAACAATGAGAATGATACTCACCTGGGTTTGCATTTTAACACTGGCTGCTTAGAACTAGAGTCTACCTCTTTGGAGTCTATGCCTCCTAAACTGGCTTTGCGAACCTTGCTTCTCAGGCTTCGTTTTTCCTACATACAGACATACATTGTGTTTGAGATCATCCTTGTAAGTTGCCTAACATCCTGTTGAGCAGAGAGAAATGGAGGAACAGGATGAAAGACAGGCAGGTTTCATACTGTGGGGGCAACTAGAACCCAGAAAGATGGAAGGCAGTACTGAGAGCTACGGTAATCAGAGGCACAAGCCCATAAGTATCCTGTTCACTGCCTGTGCTGAGCCCTTCTGGATAGCACTACAGATAGTACTTAAAATGTGTTTTATGATAATCTGCCTTTTATTTAAAAAGGCCCACATGGAAGATAAATTCAGAATTTCGAGGACTTAGAAATACTTTAAAAGTTCTTTCTGGCCCCAGCCCTGGCCTTCCTGGGAAACCATCGCTGAAGGACCAAGGGGAGATTCTTATACAAATATGAGTTTAGCCTGTGCAGTCTGGCCACCAGAGAGCAGTACAGGACAAGTTGAGTTCCAGATTGCACAGAGCACCCAAGATGGTGCTGAAGGCAGTTAACTTGTTGGTGAGATTTCTAATTAGCCTGTCTCTTCCCAGCCTCTCCTGGAAGTCAGATGACTTGGTCACAAGGGCTGTTTGCTGACTGAACCAAAACAGTCTAGACCACCCTCATTCAGACAAGCTGGGTTGCTAAACACAACTCATTGTAAATAGGCCAGAGTTTAGGCCCCAGCTGCACTGTTCTCTGGCTGAGGTGACCTCAGGAAAGGATGGTCCGTTTGCTTCTGCAAAAGAGGCTTCATCCTACTACCTCACAGGACCTACCTGGGATGAAGTGGGGCCACGTGCAGGAAAAGTCCCGGTACTCACTGAAAATGCACTCTTTATCGTGTAGGTAAAGTTTGGGAGCATTCCACAAGCCCCGTCTGTCCACTGGCAGGGGCCCAGTGGTCCCAGGAGGCTGAGTTGCCCAAGCCCACGCCCCTTCTCTGGGATGCTAGAGGGGCCCCTGAGGGCAGGAGGCAGGAGGAGACTGCTCCAGGCCCAAGGGACTGGGCCTGCTTATCTCTACTGGCCTATGACATCAACAGCCGGCTCACTCAGCACTCTAAAGCTTCTCATGGGAAAGATGCCAAGCTTGGGTCCACACCCCTCACACCCACTTCTGCTGTGGTCCCTGAGCCTGAAGGCTACCCTACCTGTCACCTGGACCCCCACGAGGAAAATCTGGTTATGAGAGTCTCTGCTGCACCTGACTGTCCCAGAAAGGAGCGTGGTGGACCCTCTGCTCACCACGCCCAGTGTGCGGTTCCTCAGGGCCCTGTGGAGAGGCTGCCCTGGTCAGGGGCTCCTTCAGGGAGCTGTGCCGGAAGAGGGGCTTTGGTAGAGGCAGGGACTCTGGCCGCTGGGGTCTCTCTTCGCGGGGCTCCATGCTGGGGCCCTCACACTCACCATAGTCAGACTCTGTGCTGGAAGAGGAAGGAGAGGTTTGTGAGCCAGCAGTCCTAGTACCCCCCACCCTGCATCTGCTCCATTACCACCTCCTAGGACAAGGCAGAGGTTCAGCTTCTCTCTGCTTCGACTCCAGCCTTGGACCTTGTTATGGGCCGAATTATATCCCTCAGATTCCTGTTTTGAGGTCTTAGCCCCAGGACTGCATTTACACATGGGGTCATTAAAGAGGTAATTAAATAAAAGTGAGGTCATGAGATAGGACCTCATCCTCTGTAACTGATGTCCTCAAAAGAGAAATATTATGGTTTAGATGCTCCCCCAATCTCAAGTGTTCAAAGGTGGGACTTTTGAAAGGTACTTGGATCATGTGGCTGCTCTACTCATCAGTGGATGGGTGAATTGTTGAATTCATAGTTGAATGTGCTGCTAGGGGGTAAGGTTTGGTTGGAAGAGCCAGGTCCCTGGGGGCATGACCTTGGAGGGTGTATCCCCCTTCCCAGCTCCTCCCTCATCTCTCTGCATCCTGGCTGCCATGAGGTGAGCAGCTTTCCTCCGATGTGCCCTTCACCATGATGTTTCTGCCTTGGAACCAGCTGATCATGGACTGAATTCCCTGAACCATAAGCCAGATAAAACTTTTCCTCCTTTAAATTGTAGGTGTCAGGTATTATGTCCCAGCAATGGGAAAGTTAACTAATACAAAGGAAATTTGGACACAGACATGCACAGAAGGGAAACACTACATGGACAGGAAATGGCCATCTACAAGCCAAGGAGCGAGACTGGAGTAGAACCTTCCCTTGTGGCCCTATTTAGGAACTGACAGCCTTCAGAACTGTGAGGAAATAAATGTCTGTTGTTTACACCTGGGTACTTTGTTATGGCAGCCCAAGCAGACTGATGCAGCTCGGATCCGATAGGAGGAAGAGCCCAGCAAACGTCAATGAACAACTAGCACCGAGGCTGGTCTCACTTGTCCTCATCTCTGGGCATAGCTCCCAAGCTCTCTGGAGCCAAATAAGCTCATACTTGGTCCTAAAACTTCAGGCACTGAGATGCTGCTTTCCTCCTCAAGAACAGGTGGGGGTAGAACAGACATTCTGGAGCAAGTATTTAATATGGCTGTAAGTAACTGGCAGGAACTCAAGTGGCAGAAAAATGGGTGCAGGTCCCCGGATGAGCAATCTCAGGCCGCTGGGTGGAAGATGAGACTCAGTCCAATAGCTCTCTGTTGTCCCAGCTGATCAGGAAGTAGAATTTGGGTGAGCCCACTACAGCCCATACTGCGCATGGAGCCACTCAGGGCATAACCAATGGGTTCACTCATTCACTGTGGGGCTGATTTGTTACTGTGCTTTACTGTGGGAATCGATAACTGACACAGATGCTTTCCTGGCCACCCAATCTAAGGTAGCTGACCTATCATTCTTCATAACATACCTTTACTTCCTCTACCTGGCACACATGTGATATGATGTTTTTCTTATTAAATGCTTTTTTGCTTACTAGCCATCTACTCAACTTAATGAAACACAAATGGGAGTAAGGACTTTGCCTAGTGTTGGGGGCGCTGAGTGCCCACATTTGGGGAATTACTCAACAACTTGCTGTTGATCAGCCTCCCGAAGAACCAGTGTGTCTGCAGGAGCCATAGAATCTGTATTTCTAATAAGCGGGGTCTGATGCAGGTGGTAAGGCCAGCACTGGGAGAGGCAGCCCTTGAGGCTCCAGGCTTCCTACCCCCTTACCCCATCTTGGCCTTCTTACCACCATGCATCACCATCTTCCAGTGGGAGGGCCCCAGAGTCCTCCTGGGACAGATGACACCCACTGTATCCCCTGCTGCAGCTTACATGACAAGCATCCCTGGGAGAAGACAGCGGGGCCCAGGCCTCTCCCTTCCCCGAGGAAATAACTATCGCTCATCCTTACAGTGCTTGTGGTGCTCTGGACACTGTTCTACACACTACACATATGTTCATTCTCTGATCCTCATGGCTCCCACTGACAGATGGGAAAAAGGCCCAGAGAGGACCCTCCACCCACAAGCGGAGAGAAGACCGGACCCCAAACGCGGCCCCAGTCCCGCAGCAGCCTGGCCATACCTGCTGTCCTCGCAGTCGACCAGGACGCACACAGCCAGCACATCCTGCCCGATGGTGTCCTCCCCAGGGCTGAACCTCACCGAGGTCCATTCGGAGGGTGCGGGCAAGGTGGCTTCACTGTTCATGTCCCTGGGCTGTGGCTCAGCCGTGCTCTTTGGTTTCTTGGGGGAGGTGGGCTCATCTGCTGAGAGGAGAACAGGGGCTAGAGAGCCAGTGGGACCAAGGGCCCCACAGGGTGCCTGATCCTCCAGGGGTCTGGGTGGGATGGTGGGGGACAGGCCTGGTTTAGCCGGATACCCCAGACTGACCATTCATCATCTGTGCTATTGCTGAAGCACCCTCACCCCACCCCTACATGCAGGGTACAGATGCATCGTGTTCAATGGAAGGTGAGGCCCAGCTCAGGCTCCCCAGCCTCTGATTGCCACCTCCATCCCGATGCTAGATACGGGGGTGATGTCTCAGCTCTCATCTTATTGATGCATCAGCAGCACCCCACCAGGGACCACAATCTCTGGGCCTCTAGGACGGCTCCACTGGCTTCTGCCTCCCCACTTCCTGCTGGGTCTACTTGGCTGGTCCCACCTTCTGCCCTCAGCTGCCTACCACTAAGGGCCATGGAGCTCCATCTCAGGGCCTCTTCTCACCTCTGTCTACCCTCACACCCACGATGGATTCATCTGGGCTCATGGCTCTTGTAACCCTCCACACAATGACTCCCAGATTTGCATCTGTAGCCTGGAGAGTTCCCTGGCGTGGGACTTCTATACCCACCCTGCTCCTCAGTTGGCACCTCTGTGTGGGTGTCTAATGCACCCCTCAACTCCACATGCCCACCCTGAATGCTTCCTTTTTGCCTCCCCCATATCTGTGCCACTCCCAGTCACCCCCAGCTTCATAAACAGCGAGTGGCTCAGATCAGCCCCTTCCTGGCATCCTTAACTTCTGTCCTTTCATCCCTCTCTAAGCCACTGCAAATCCTGATGGCTCTGCCTTCAAACTGCACCAGGAATTTGTCACCTCTCTCTCTCTCTGCTGCCACCCTGCTCCCAGTCCCTGCCACCTCTTGCTGGGATGAGAGAAATAGCCCAGGTAGGGCTATTTCTGGTCACAGTGCAGCAGGTGCCCCTGTTCCTGTCTGAGGTAAAGACCTCAACTGAGCTTGGCTTGTTCTCATCTCCAGTGCTGGTCAGGAGCTCCTCTCTTTCCTATGTTCTTAACTTCTCTGCCTATTGGATTTTTTCTCCTCAGTATTTAAATACACTGAAGATTCTCCTGTTCTAAGAAACTTTTCAAAAGCCAGCTTAGCCCTGCTATGCTCCAGCCCTGTCTCTCTCAACAGTAGCCAGAGTGACCCTGTTAAAACAGGAATAAGATAATGCTGTCTCCCTGCTCAGAATCAGCCAGCGGCTCCTCATTTCACTCAGAGATAGTGAAGCCGAAGAGTCCAATTTCATGCAGGCCCAGTGGCTCACTGTGCTTCAACCTGTCACGTCCTTGCTGTTCCCCTAGCACTCTGGGTGGGTGCTGCTGTAGGCTCTTCGCACTGCTCTTGTGTCTGCTAGCAGAGGCTCTCTCCAGGTACCTGGTGCAGGACTCCCTCACTGCCACGGGTGTCTGGCTAATGCCACCTCCACTGTGACCTGCACTCACCCCTGGTGCAAACTGCAGCCCACAGCCCCGGTGCTCTCCATTTCCCCCTTTGCTTTGCTCACCAAGCTTCTAGCTTCTAGAAACTAGACAATTATTTCTTATTGTGTTTATTCTCTCTCTCTCTCTCTCTCTCTCTCTCTCTCTCTCTCTCTCTCTCGACTAGAAAGTAAGCAGTGACTCTGGTCTGTTTTGTTTGTTAGAATTATGCCTGGTAAACAGTCAGTGCTCAGTTGGATGAGTTAAGAAAGGAGTGAATCCCGGCTCATCTTGGCCACTAACCAACTGGGTGGCCCCTTCTCTGGTCACAGTGGAGCAGGTGCCCCTGTTCCTGTCTGAGGTAAAGACCTCAACTGAGCTTGGCTTGTTCTCACCTCCAGTGGGGGTCAGGAGCTCCTCTCTTTCCTATGTTCTTAACTTCTTTGCCTACCGGATCTTTCTTCTCAGTATTTAAATACACTGAAGATTCTCCCATTTCGAGAAGCCCTTTTAAACCAGACCCCACCCCAGACCATTCTTTTTCCTCCTCTCACCCAATCTTCTCAGAAGATTCTACTGCATTCATTTTCTTTGCTTCTTTATTGATCCTCTATGCTGCACACCCCTACCCTATGCAGTCTGTCCTCTCCCTGTTGCTAAATCCCGAAGCCCTTGAGCTCCAACTCGTCCTTGCTCCTAGGGACACTTTCACTCCCATCCTCTCCAACTGCTGCCTCCCAGCCATCCAGCTTTTCTGACAACCCTGGAGCACAGGGTTCCCTCTGATGACACCAGAACTCGCTCCCTTTCTCCCACACACAGTTTCTCTGGGAGATGTCTCCAAAGCTCTAACTCTACTTCTTGCTTGGGAAGACAGCTCAAGAAATTCTGATTGCTATGTGAAATGCCTCCAGTTTGAAAACATCATAAGGTCAAACAAAACCTGTCCACAGGCAAGCTCAGCCAGTGGCTGCTGGTCACCGCCGGCCGGGGTGTGTGTGTGTATTCACTGCGTGCATGTCTATACTGTATGCTAGTGCACCAGGGATGGAGGCGTTTGAGAACTATGACTGGATGCTGGTCTATATGATAATGATGAGGAGGAGGTGATAAGAAAAGTAGTAGCAGCTCACTTTTTTTTTTTTTTTTTTC